CCCCCCCCCCCCCCGTTAAATAATGATAACTCCCTTACTAACATTAAAACCAATATAATCTGTCAACATTTTGAGCTACATTACCTTCTGTGGTTGCTACTGGTAATGTTGTTGGTTCTGCAATAAAGCAAATCATTTTACACCATCAAACACGGCACAATAGGAAAGAGTTACAAGAGTTATAGGAAAACAATAACTTGCATAACTCACTCAGCTCGTGTATGGAAAATCCCGGTTATAAGCCCAACTTGTCCGCACTGCTAACTTAAATATCCTAAGAATTATATGAGACCCCCTTTCGCCAAAGCCCACTAGTTAGACTGCTAACAAAGCTGCTAACGCAAATATTCCTCTTATGACCCAGAGAGAAAGAAAAAAAAAAAAAAATTCAAGTGATTTAGCCAAGCCATAATGATTTTTCAACCTCTCCCTTCATGCAATCGATAAAATTTCCCATTAGGAAATTGGCGTGACACATTTGATTTATTTTAACGTAATTTGTATACACTTTAGTTTGTTCATCACAAACTCTTTTTTGCCTTAGTTCCTTTTCTTCTGGTTATAAGCCTTCCTTGTCTCACAATTGATAGACTGGATGCATTGTGGTTTACCTTGGGTACAAACAACACCATATAAGGCATGATGAACAAAACATGTTTGTACCTAAGCTAGACCACAATGCATCATGTTTCTCCATCTCAGAAAAGTTCTGATGTGTTCATCTTGAAAAGAATGATGTGTGAATGAGACTTACGGGTGTTCTTTGGTGGTATGATGACCTTAGTTGGCGCTGGTGGAGTGAGTAGTAGCTTAACAGGATCTGGAATAAACATGTACCTACGATATTAATGTTATCCTTGAAACAAAGAAGTAATATAGACTTAACAAATAATATCACTTTTATTTAAGTGTCTAGTCGTTCTAGCGCTTTCGCACTAATTGGGGACACTTTTCGCTCACACGTACTACCACTACATTAAATGTTCTATGCCACAACACTCAACTCACATGTTGATTTTTACGGAGGGAGGAAACCTGAGAACCCAGAGAAAACCCTCGTAGCATAGGAGAGAACAACACATCAAACAAACTCAATTCACATGTGGCGACCGCAGGGCTTGAACCAACGACCCGACCCGTTGGACTCACAGCGGTGAAAGACGACGCGTTAGCCGCGAACGCCACCCATGCTACCCATAAATGAGACTTACGGGTGTTCTTTGGTGGCGTGATGACCTTAGTTGGCGCTGGTGGAGTGAGTAATAGCTTCACAGGATCTGGAATAAACATGTACCTACGATATTAATGTTATCCTTGAAACAAAGAAGTAATACTAAAGGGAAAGTGACGTGGGTGGAATAAGGAATAAGTAATTATGACTACAATACGTGAAACTGCAACAATAACAACAACAACGACGACGACACCAACCAAGGAATTGATAAAAAAGGAATAGAATTACAACAGCAACATGCAGTAGTCTTTTTATCAGAAACGGTGTTCCTGGTTTAATATAACCAGTAAAATAGTCAGTAAACTACCTCGGCCGCAATAAAGGTAAGTAAATCTTATTTTCATTGTTTTCTTTTGTGTCCATTTTACTATTATACATTTAAAAACCAAATAATATTTTCGTTTGATGGGTTAAGATCACTCTAGCTGTAGTGATGATTTTCACCCGTGTCATATTACTTTTTAGACCTTATAAAGTTTGGCGGAATTCAATTTGGGTTGGTTTGGATGTCATCATTAACAGTGAATTTCCTTAATTATGCTCTGATTTAAAAGCGATAAATGACGTTAAACATGGCTTTTCTTGGGTCTATGGCTTGGAGTCAATGTATGTCATCGGGTAGAAAGATGACACCTTTTGCGTGTAGTGTCACCGCTTGAATTTACAGTCAAATAATCTAGGTTTTGAGCTTTTAAGAAAAATATAAAGCGAAGGCATTTCTATAAATGATAAGGACAACGAATGAAACGAACGAACGAACGAACGAACATTCTCTGAAAGTCATTTATAAAAAAATTTTGAATGATAGTTTTATTCAACTTACCTGAAGTCATTTTAGTATTCGTTATTATTTTTGTGGTATCTGATAAAAAAAGAAACGGTTAATGTGTTGGTTTGTCAATAAATAGTCGTTCCGGGAGGGAGAGGTAAGAGGAGGATAGAGTGATTTGTTCAGATTTGTTAACCATCTACCAAAAGTCCATAACTAGTTTGAACTTCTTCCATCTACATATAAACCACTTGTACAAGCTTAGTGATGAATCATTAGATAATTATTGGGGGGATTGCAAGAGTTTTGGTTGCACGATATTTATTTTTCTGGCTCAACCCTTGCACGTTATTTTTTTGCGTACAGTTATATATTTTTCTTCTAGCAGAAGAGGTTGCACGATATGTTTTTGGAGGTTTAAGTGCTAGCTCGATATTTTTGGGGGGATTTACGCAACCCCTCCATCAACTATCTAATGGTCCGTCTGTTAGAGAAAAGAGATTGGTTCCCACGCGCGTATAATCTTGAATCACACCTCTTTAAGAAAATCAAAACAAAATGTTTGCTGAAACGTATTAACCTTTTGGGGGATCATTCCCCAGTGTCATCGACTGGTCCTTTCATTTTGATATTGTAATAAATGAATACCGCATCGCACCCCTCCCCCCTCGGTGGGCTGAGGTCGTTTATTTTGAGTGAATTGAGAGCGGGAGAACATCCTATGAAGCGTATGAAATCCTCAAAAGAACTTAGAGATGACAGAAACAAAACAGACTAGACTGTCATATAGATTCATCTGTTGTGTTTTCTAGCTTTGTAGTACAACAATATATTGTTTTATGATCGCGTCTCTACCCCCTAATCTTCACGAGTTTGAGTACAGTTTCTGGTCTCGCGTAACAGACCTTGATTGAGCTGTCAACTCCCGTTTGCATTTCCATTGAGTTACATGTTAGTTTATAGAAAGTTGAGGTCGTTTATCTGGAGTTCGACAGCGAGGAACCCCACATCTGGGAAACAGATAATATTGCGCTGCAAAGAGCATGGAAATATCCAGATCCAAAGAATACATTTGTTATTTCAAACCACTTGACGCAAAGATACACACTGCAAGCTCAAGATACTACAAATTATTGATCAAATCTGTTGATTAGTTCGTGTCGATCCGTTATCCAAATATGATGACAAGATATTCGATATTTTCTGATTTCAACTTACCGCACAGTCCGAGAGTAGCGAGAAACAAAATCAGAACGACTTGGGCCATTTTGCGGGTTTAGGAATCCAGTCTTTATAGCAGGAAACCAAGCGTCGATTCTAAGAAGGAAAGGATTAAGAATGACATCAAGAAAATCCTCTCTCTTCAAAGCAACGCCGCTCGCTTGTCAGTAATAATCCTCTTGCGACTGTGCCTTACACTTTTCGAGATTGAACAATAGACTTGTCGTGTTTTACGACATGTTACCGCACGAGTTTTCAAAAGCACTATGCTGTTAAATGAACATACTAGAAGAGCGCTGAATCGCTTCATTTAACAGCCGAGTTGTCAGAAACGCATTAAAATTACTCCAATACCAATCTTCCTTTATATTGGTAGGTTTTTGGTGAGTTTGAGTGTGTTTACCTGACTTATTGAACTATTACCAAGCCGCTACACATCTATTATCAGTCTCACCAATCCTATATACTTCACCTTTTTTATCCTGATTTTGATTTTCTCTGTAGAATTCTTGTCTTGAGTGAATTGGAGATTGAGCAAGGAATCGAACGATACTTTGATCGGCTACTTCTGCGCGCTGGTCTAGCTACGGTATCTTATTGGTGACCTTAATTACGCTTTTGTATAAATGATGGTGAGGGCCACACGTAGGGAACTAACACCCAATCTGGTTCAGGTTTGAAGCGCGCCTATCATTGGCTTTCGTTTACGCACGTAAGAGGAAGATGGGCGCACTCGCAGTTTGATCGCGAATCAGTCAAATGAAATATAAGCTCTTGCCGATAGATGGGACATCTTTCGACAAATTTATTCCAGTTACTTGGGTTTTAAATCTATTCACTTCCGATTGGCCTTAACCTTGCTGCGGGAGAGAATATGACGTCATTGCATTGCTGTAGGGTCGCCCTGTACATGAAATTACTGCGCATGACATAACTGTGCACCGCATAGCCGTTACATCTTATGTCACCTATAAACTACGTGTGGTATTGAATTTAATGTGGCTAAATGGAATTTAGGCGTAGTTAAAATCGAGGCAAGCTGGTCAGCGGTTGGCGGTCCCTTCTCTACCTAACGGGACCCCCCTCTCATGCTTCTCGAACAGCTTAATTTATTGCTAGCTTTGCCGAGCGTCACGTGTTACTGACTGTTGGTTGCAATTTGGCAGAGCTTTTGCGTCGTTCAGACTGCCTTGAAAGCTCGGTGCCCACCCTCCTCTCCCTGGGCAAAGCATAAAATTCCTATCGGGTGAGTATTCCACTGACTTTGTCAGTGTGACGGGTTCTAGGTACCTGGACTTTGGCAGGGTTGCCATGGTTACCTCCCTGGGGTAGGCGAGATCGCGCGTCAAGCTTACCTCTTGGCACCCAACCCCAAGCTTATCTGTGGACGATGAGTTTTAACCTTGATTTGCTCGTCTCAGCGCATGCATGGTCTGTTCCGTTCAGGTGCCAATTTTCACGTTTTACAATAGGATACATTGACTGAAGGATGATAACCACAGTGATCCATGGTGAAGGTGGCAATGGTTCAGTATATTTTCACTATACACCCCTTGGACGTGAAAGACCAACTGAGACGCTGCTGACATCATCCTCTTCAATGCCTGTGCTTATAATTACTACACGGCCTACAGTCATTGGCGAAAGTTGTTGTGGTGTTACGTTCCTGCCCTTATGGAAAAAGTTAGTAAAAAAAAAAAAGAATTCAAATAATGGTGGTGATGATGGTCAGCGAGGATGGTAGCCATGACGACGATATGATGAAGCGATCTACAATGGTAAAGGTGGTAATGATGTTGATGATGGGCAGTGATGATGGTAATGATGATAACGATGATGATGATGACATTGATGTTGATGATAATCATGATAATGAAGATAACAATGATCTTGATGGTATAGCAGTAACTTGATCTGGACACCGATCCAAGGACATTCAGCTGTAACGGACGATTAGGATCAGTTATCATGGTGATACTAATGATTATACAGTAGCTCTAATGCTCGGTCATCCTATATAGGTAAAAGTTAAAAGTCAATCTGGGGGACAAAGCAATAAATAAAAGGATAAATGAGAAATATTTTCAAATCTCAAGATAAAACCTAATTGTTTTAATCCCCGGATGGAGAATTAGTGCAATGGGTCTATATAATCGATCACAATAATTTGATTATCAGCCCAAAGTACGTATTACGGCAGGCAGATATTTTGCACCCGGGGGGGGGGAGGGGAGGGGGGGGAGTACCGGGGATGCTCGTCGGAAATTTTCAAAAAGACCCCTAAAAGATACCAGAAGTCTTTAAAAATGGGCGTGGCTGAATGATTTTTAACCCCTAAGAGATACCACAACAAATAATATTAAATTTTATATAAAAAGCGCCTAGGATAAGCCATAT